CGTCGTCGTGTCGTCGTTGTCGTGTGAGCAGTTGTGTGTGTGTGTGTGTGTGTGTGTGTGTGTGTGTGTGTGTGTGTGTGTGTGTGTGTGTGTGTGTGTGTGTGTGTGTGTGTGTGTGTGTGTGTGTGTGTGTGTGTGTGTGTGTGTGTGTGTGTGTGTGTGTGTGTGTGTGTGTGTGTGTGTGTGTGTGGCAGCTGCATGTTGCTTTCTTTAAAGGTCCCCTATTATACTGTTTTTTATCCATATATTATAGGTGTCAGATATATACAAAACATGTCTCTGAAGTATTTGGCTCGAAATACCAAACAGATCATTGTAGCATCCCATAATCCCCTCTGTTTCCGCCGTTTCTCAATCTCGAGGTTCTGGCTTCCAAGCCAATATTTCAAGGATGCTACGTCATCGAGTGCCGACCAAGGACTGTTCCAATCTCCAGCATACTTGGAATTCCACCGAGGTCGCGTCCTTGGTTTGGGGGTAATTTCGAGGCTGCACATGGGTAGACTTCGCGTCCTTAAAATCCCCACAATGCTTTGCGCACGGACCAATTTCCCCAAATGTGTGGCGGAAAATGTAAGGCGGGGCCTCTCATATGACGCACACCTGCACACTTGCTATCCTGTTCCACTCTTCGTTTTCCGGATGCCAGGAAGGATTCTTGCCTAGCTTCTGAAGCAAGTGACTCGGAAGATATGTGCTACCAAGCAAGCATCCTCGCGATTGAGAAATGGCCTCTGTCTGTTACTTTAGATGAAAAGAAGGAGCCACTCCCCACGCCCCTCTGAGAGATATTTGGTTAAAAATAACACAATGTTGCTCTAGGAGGAGATTCAGGTGATAAGGAGGGGGGTCCTTGGTTTGTTATTGCTAATGGTTACACAAGCCAAAAACACGTTATGTCATCATAAAGTGGCCAAAATCTAATTTTCAGACAGGTTTTTATATAAATGGATCAGGACAAAAAGTGAGTGAATCTTTTTTCCTGAAACCTTCTGAATCTCTTCACACAGAGGGGACACATGTTTATGTATAAAATACATGCAAAAGTGGATATTTCCCTTTAGGTGACCTTTACTATGTCTCCATTAAGAAGTTTGATTTCAACATTAAAACCTATTTTTCACAAATGCATGTATTGCAAGAATCAAGCGAGGGCACCAGTGATCTTCCGGTATACTATTTTCCTTAAATGTTTCCTCTCTCAGTCCTCTCCCTCCACCTCCACATTCACCCTCCATTTATTGTTGTGTAGGTGAAGATGAGTTATAGTGGTCACAACGAT